AAACTCAGTGCGGATTACCTCTTGCATTAAGTAATCTGTCTCATTATCCACCCGACTTGTGACCTCGTCCAAGAGCAAGATTTTTCTCTTCTTAACAATAGCTCGAGCGAGGCAAATGAGCTGTCGCTGACCGGCTGATAAGGGGAGTTGATCGATCTTTGCATCGAGTCCCCCAGAGTTCTGGACATGCTCGTGTAATTGCACCTTTTGTAGTGCATTGAGAACATTCTCATCATTCATGGGGGTGAACCCAGTGATATTGTCACGGATAGTGCCCCGGAAGAGGACGGGCTCTTGAGGTACCACTGTAACTTGATTGCGGATGAAGTCCCGAGGGCATGACTGTAGACTCACGGCATCAATACTAATATCACCACTTTGTATCTCCACCATGCGAAGAATGGCAAGAAGTAGAGAGCTTTTCCCACTTCCAGAACGCCCGCATACCCCTAGCTTGGAACCAGCAGGGACGGTCAGTGTTAGTTGTTGAAGAACAGGCGGAGAGTCCAGCTCGTAGCCTACGCTGACATTCTGGAAAGCTATGTGGCCGGCTGATGGCCAATCTGCACGATGAACTGCTTCCTCTCCAGGAAGGTCCTCTGAGGGAACCTTCTGAAAACTGCGGATACGTGTGACCGCACCAATACTGGTCTCCATGGATGTCCAGAAGTTGATCAATTCCGACAGCTGCTGGCTGAATGTGATTAGAGAGATGAGCGAAACACCTATTGGCCCAATCTCGCGCACAAAGACAGCGAGTATTACTAGCAAGATTGCAATACCGGCAACACAAAGATCTAGAACAAGGATAAGCCACCGCTGTATGACAAACAGCATATAATAGGGCCGTTGCGATCTTTGGAGCAGTTCTTGGTGCTCTTCACGGAAGCTGTCTTGCCAGCCAAACGCGCGGATAGTGACAAGTCCATTTAGCGTCTCGGTAAACTGGGTGTACAGTGGTGACTTGCTCTCAAGATCCAGATGGCGAAGTTGTCGTGATGTTCGGAGGTAGAACTTCTGGATCGAGTAAACCACAATGGCTGATAGGGGAATCAGAGGAGCCATATATTTAGCACCAACGCAGATGAATACAGCGCTCATTAAGCATTGTGTGAAGTTCCGCGATGTTTTAAGAAAGTCAGCAGGAAGTGATCGGTCAATTAGAGTCATGTCCTGACTGAAGCGATTCAGGGTGATACCGCTGTCTGTGGAGGTGAGCCAATGCAAAGGAGCTTTGTTGACCTTCATCACCAGATAATCATGGAGCCTGTTGGAGGACGTCGGGACAATGCGGCAAAAGACCAGCCACATGCACCATGCCCACAGTGCAGCTCCTACAGCGGCCAAAACAGCATATACGCTGATATAGAGGGCAAGCCTTCCGAACGGCGTCCGAGCATTTTCTTCTCCCCACCATTGGACCCAAAGATCTTTGCTTCTTTATCAGTGAAAGAAAACAATGAAGGCAGGTAGACTTACTGGGGAATTGAGAGCAGAACACTCCTATAACCAAGGATACAAAGTAGATTGATACATGCCAAGGGCCGGCCGTTCGGAGGTAGTATGCATATATACTCAGGTCGCCTGTCTTCCTGTTCATATCGTCAGCATTCGAAGACGCAATGCCTGGAGCCACTTGATTCGGCATTGCTACTTGGCGCTCGTCGGTTGAGTTTGAAGTGGCTGCTGATCCATCTGATGGATCCTGTAATCGGAGCAATTGCGGAGGACCTTGTTCCCTAATCCCTCCGTTGTGAAGCAAGACAACATTATCAGCAAAGGCAAGAAGTTTCTGGTCATGGGTGGCTAAGATAGCAGCAACTCCATGACGACGCAATATGCCCTGTGCCCCAAAAACGCGCTGGAAAACTTGCTCTGAAGTCTTCGCATCCAGAGCACTTAAGACGTCATCGAAAAGAGCTAACTGCTTGCGTGCATAGATAGCACGGGCAATAGCAATCCGTTGTCTTTGTCCACCACTAGTTGCCATACCATTGCTGCCAATAATTGTTTGATCTTTGTGGGCAAAGCTCTCAATGTCTTGGTCGAGCGCTGTCGAATAGAGCACTGTTCGGTACCATTGCTCATCAAAAGGCAAGGGTTGGCAGATGTTATCACGGATAGATCTATTGCGAATCCAAACCTTGGTGCTACAGAAAGATATTTCGCAAACATTGCTGTAAATGAAGCCCTTTATGCAGGGAACCTCACCGAGAATTGCCTGAAGCAGCGTGCTCTTTCCTGATCCAACGGCCCCAGTAATCATGGTAAGCGATGAAGGGGGGCATCGCAAATCGATGCTCAGCAATGTAGGTGGCGAATTGCGATTCCAGCCAAAATCAGCCTGGTGGATATGCAGTAAGTCCGACTCAACTGCGACAGACCCATGCACAGGGCCTCGATACGATGGTCTTGATGGCTCAAGCTCAATGGACACTGTCCCCTCAGCGTTAATTTCAGCCCAGTTTTCATGCTTGGAGAATTTATGATGGCCTTGCGATATAACTCGATCATCAAGCCTGGGGCTAGCCAGCAAGTAAGCTTGGATCCTCTGAAAGCATTCCAACGCCGCACTGGCTTTTGGGCCGGAATAGACCAGGTTTGACAAAGGGCCACTTAATAGAGAAATTATCGACAGAGATGAGAACGTTTGAGCCACTGTCAATGGACTTTGTCCGGTATGGAGTGCAACACCGGTAAAAAGGCTGAGTGTGAGAACAGGGCTGAGGTTTGTTGTTGTGCCCGCTAAAACATAATTAGTCTCATGAAATCAATTTGACAAAATATTCGCACTCAGACTGAACTTACCGAGCAAATTCATTTTCACCATCAGGTGGCGAAATTTCGACTGTCGACCAAGCTCGTCAATGCGGAGTTGCTGTAGCATCCTAGAGAAGTGATTCTGAAGGCCAAGCATCTTGATAGTTACACTCGCATCAAGATAACTCGAAGCAAATGCAACTCTTTCACGGACAGCCTGCATCCATATCTTTTGTCTTCCTGGTGCGGACTTCGACAACAAATGGGTGCAACAGAAGAGCACGATAGAAAGGACGGCAGGAATTGTAGCAGCCCAAGCTACCTGACGCTGCAGCAGGTATATTGCAATGCCCACTTCTATGGGACTTGCCCAGACCTCATGCACATTCTGGATGCCCGATGCAATGTTATCTATATCATTACTCATTAAAGTCAGCGCTGCCGAGTCAGTGTACTCGTCGTATTTCAGCTCAAGTGTCTTATCATAGATGACAGATACTAGAGCACCGCGTATTTGCGTTATGAGGCGAAATATATAGTGCTCGTAAAGACAGTTCATGACCTGCGCGGATATCAGAATATAATCATAGAAGATTTGAGAGGAGGGAGTAAATTGCATACCCCTTTAAGAATGAAGACCAGCGCAAACGCACCAATCAGGCCATACCCATCGTCTTCACTAGAAGTTTTCTGGCCAACATAAATAGTTAATCTGGATATCAGAAAAGGCTGCGTATAATTCAGCCCAATCCTCATCAGTCTCGACAGATAAGAGTAAAAGACCGAGGCTCTGAATGTGCGGACAGTGCAATAGGCTAATGCATTTTTATACGTTTTCGGCACTGAAACGGGTCAGCGAACTCCAGAAATCCAGCTTAGCCTGCTACTTACTTGCAATCCACTGCGCGGAAAACTTTCGGTGTAACTCGTTCGCAGAAAGAGCTCGATCAAGGTACGGCAGTTCCTCGAGGGATATTGACTGCTTGAACCCGAGGAAGAGCAAAGGATTAACCCACCAGAAGAAGGCGCGATTATAAAAGCCCTTAGTTTCCTCGTCGCCATATTGCATGGTTTTGTTCACGAAATAGGCCAGTTTTGGCCTTGTCTCCAGAAAGAACCAGAGCAACTTGACCGCAATGCTCGCTATGTAGAGGGCAGCAAGAACGGTGTACGAGGACAGCCACAAACTCCTTGCACGTACGGCATCAAAGACAATTGTCCATGATAGGAAAAGATTCAGAAGAGAAGAGGGCTGCACAGAATATAGGTGTTCCAAATGGGATAGGAACAGTAGGCCAACGGATGTGATGAAGGTCAGAACCGCAGCTACCAAGGATGTCTGTGTCCGTGGTGTGTGAGGGAGGAGCCATAAAACTAGAAGAGAAAACTGCAATGCACCGAAAGCTTGAGCTGAAACCTGCGCGTGAGTTGGTTAGGGATAGCTCATTGAGTGACATAACGCACGTACCAATTTAGCCCAGTATTCCCAGCTTTGAGAGACGATGGCGGTCCGATGTTTCCATAGCTGTTTGTAGCGCAATGGAAGCACAAGTAGAAGTAATGCCGAAGGAGCGATGGAGAAGAAGCATTCTTCAAACAGTAGGGTGAAGTCGAAGTCCCCTCGGCAGTGGACCACTCGAGGACCGAATCCATTGTCTCCGCAAGTATGGATGTTCTCCATCCTGGTGGTATAACCTCAATACCCAGATAAGTGACGAGGGAACGCTAGATGGTAATGAGATTTGAATTGTATGGTGGAAAGTCGAGGTTGGCGAGGGAATGAGGCGGAGTGTCAAGTGGAAACGAAGCAGCAAGTACCTTTAAGGAGCTAATCTCGCTGGCCTATCCGCCTCTCTAGTCTTGGATGGTGTTGCAAATCCAGCAATTAGGTGACTGCGATAAGGTGAATGGGTGAAAAGACCCCTGTCGCAAGACTAGTACTTAGTCCCCCCTCCAAACCCCATTAATCCACGGCGTAGAGGTAACCTGGGTTCTAGACTGATCTTAGCCTCTAGGCTACTCATTCATGTCTGCCTGATGCTCCCCTTGTAAGGCTGCTACGCACGATCTTTACCGATCTTTTTAGGAGACGCTTAATAGGGCTTTAAGCCGTCGGGGCTCCGAACAGCCAAAAATAGGCGTATAAACTCCAACGATAACGCGTGGAGCATTCCTATGGAAGCACATCTTCTCGTAGGTAGTAGCAGTCATAGCAGTCATGGTGGCATATAACCACCAAGTCAAGCAGTCTCATCCACATTATACACCAACTTACACCCCCTGACCTTCCCTTCCTTCAAGAGTTTCAGTCCTTGAATGACACCCTGCAAGCCGCCAGCCCCAATCTTCACAGGATGAGGAACAACCCTGCCATCCGCCAACAACTTGGCCGCCTTTTCCAGCCACTCTGACGCAAAAGCCCGATCCTCCGGTTTCGCAGGGATACGCCCACCTCGAAACGTCAACTCCTCACCGAATACCGTATACCCCAACGTCCAGCGACTGCGTACATCCGCACGAGGCACCTTGCTATCTATCATCGCCGTATAATCACCGCCCTGGGAGCTCATAGCCCGTCCACAGAATGCCGCCGTCTCGTCTGTTGAGATGGTATCCAGCACCAACTTCAGACGATCCTGCGTAACGTCGCGGATCTTGTCAGCCGCCTCGGGATCCTTGTAGTCAAAGACATGGTCGGCACCACGGCTCTTCACTACCTCCTCAGTCTCGGGCGAACACGTCGTAATCACCTCGTACCCGGACAGCTTCGCAAACTGAATTGCCAGAGTCCCTGTGGCCGTCGCACCGCCGTAGACGAGAATCGGTTCCGGCTGGGCCAGAGGATGATCAAACGGTGCGAGCTGCAAGCTTTGGTACAGAGATTGAGCAATGGTGCCCATGCCGACACCTAGGGTTGCAGCTTCCTGAAAGCTGAGGTTTTCCGGTATGGCGCACTGCAGGTCACCTGGAGCGAGGACGTACTCGGAGAATGCTCCATTGTAGGGGAGATTGGGGTTGCAGCCGCGAATGACGCCAAAGACACGATCACCGGCCCGAAAGGGTTTTGTGACTGCAGGACCGACGTCTTCTACAATGCCGGCGTAGTCACAGCCAACAGTGACGATGGGAGTGCTTTGAAGGGCGGTTTTCCAGTCAGTGGGGTTAAGCGCAACGCTCACCACTTTGACAAGGATGCAGTCATGACGGAGGGTAGGCTTGGGCCAGTCGCTCACCACGGAGATAGTCTCGGGAGCAGTGACGGCAATGGCTTTGACCATGGTGGTGATAGTTAGGGAGGATAATGCACGGAGGTGGGTGGAGCTATAGCATATTTAGGAATTAAAATGTACTAGAGAGCATGGCAGATGATCGGGCTTTATGTATGTATCTGTTGAGAGGGGAAGAGGGAAGTACTTGACTTCACCGAATCAAATCATGCGGCGACTAGTGAGGAGCTGAACTGCAGCTTCCCGTGCCTCCGAAGTGACCTGCCTGGATTTCTAAGCTGCTCGATCTAATTGCTTCTTCCCCGGTCGGCATATGGATTATTTTACATCGCGCCTCGGAGTATCTTGGGCAGTCCCTCGCCTCAGAGCAGTACCCCGCATACCTGCGTCATTAGAAAGTTGTACGTTGTGGACAGACATCTGACTTCACTTGATGACAGAAACAAATATCATCTGACATTTTGACAATATCCAACAGCCTCGACACATTGGATCGATCGGTATTACAAACTATCAAATACATATCAATAGAACACACAATTAGAATTACACACAGAACTCCTTCCCACCCCGATTATGATTATCCCCAGCCATAGTTCCTGGACAAGTACTGCCAGGACTTCTTTTTTTCTTTAGATTAGTAGTGAACGTGATGAGAATCGTTAGGTTGGTTTCATCAGTCAGAAGTCAGCGCGCTGTGTCCAATTGCATTTCACGTCATATTTGGTCCAGTAGCGCTTCATTATTCGTTTCGTTCCATCCCTGGGAGTGATATTCACTCCGAAAAACGTAATCCCAGCCCAGGCGGAGAAGCGGATATGGACCACTGTTTAGACTTGAGCCATGCTGGGGCGAGTAACACCGCGAGCAGGACCGGTGCGGCCACGAAGGTTGACACTTGTCTGGCGGGACATGATGATCGACAGAATCATCGAGGCCGTGTAGCCAGCCCAGGCGAACCACAGGAATGCCGTCGAGGCCTGAGCCTCGCGGCAACGCTTCGTGCGGTTATGGGCACCATTGGTGATTTCGTTGTTGAGCGTGTAGGACTAGAGTAAGTATCCACAAGTCAGCGTTGCCCTAAGATTATAGTACTGTAGTGCATCATCTTTTGGGGAGTTCGCGGGACGAAAACTCCACTCTCCACTTTTTAGTGGATAGTTTCCCCGACTGATAAGGCAGAAAATCATGGATCTATACGTACATCGTTGCTGCAGCTGTGGCATTCCAATTTCGCAGCCAGAGCGATGGCGGCCGTAAGGAACAGGATCGCATTGAGCGTATCGATAGCGATCAAGAAGATTGGGTGGATGGCCCAGTCGATGTTGATTGTCGCTGGGAATAGATAGAAGAGTGTGAACATCGAGAAAGCTGCAACGAACATGGTGTAGTTGATGGTCGACGGGTTCCCGGCGAATGCTTCAGCGATCATGTTACCGATCAGGGCCATGACGAGCAGAGTCCAAAGGAACTGATGCCATTTTCAACGTTAGTCCAGAATTTCCCAGCTGCGTTACTTGCTTGCTTTGCAGGCCCAGCTAGAGCAGGGGCTCATGGCTCGAGAAAGATCGACATACCTCCCAGATCCGTAGACCGAGCTGGATAGCTTTGGCAACCATCTTGGTGGTGTGATTTGTATGTATTGAGTGATGGGTGGTGGTGATCGAGAGTTGACGGGGGTAAGCGCGCTTGGTGGGTTGTGCAGATTGTAGATTATCGATCTGAATCAGTAGATCCGGCACCGGGAAATTAATAAATCGGGACGAGAGACCATTAGTTAGACGGAGTGATAATTATAAGAATAATCATCTCCAGTGCGGGATGATCGGGCAACACGAACGATGACGATATGCGCCGGTCTAGGGATCTGCTACGTCATGCGCCGGCCCGAATCATGAAATCACCACCACTGCTGCACCATTGAAGTTTTCCACCACAGAATCGTCCAGCAAGTGGAATGGAGCGGGACAGCGGTCTAGGTGTTTGTCTTTTAGCACTGACTCGTAGTTCCCTTATGAACCCAAAGGTGCCCAGCCTGCCGCTGTTGGGCGCTTTTGCAGTTTGCTCCACGCATTCCCCGTTCACGTTGAAAATAAAATGCCTAACACTATTTTCTACAGATTTTCCCTCAAGGCGATCAAACGCTTCGTTTGATACATAGACAGCACCACTCTGCAATCATCACTTCCGAGGTCATCCGAGCATGAAACATCAATGCCGTCACCCATGGGCGGAGCCATTCAAGCTTGTGGTGGGATGCGATCCCCCATTAAGCTCTCCAACCAGTGGGCCGGCAAACTTTAAACGTTGTAGCTGAAAGAGCTTGTCGCTTCTCGACTGGCCAGCATGATGCCCGACCATAGAGCTTGCTGGATTTCCATGAACCACACATGCAGCAAACAGGAGCCAACAGATCCTTGACCGGATGATCTGCTTGTGCCGCAAGTGTAATTGTTCATTCTCTTCCGGCAGGTCATGAGAGGATCCCACCCACACCACGCCTCGGTCGAATAAGACTGTTCACAAATTCCTTAAATAGAGCAGTCACTATCACGGGAAGGTGGAAGAAGCAGGAGAGCAACATCTCCATATCCACCTTCCTATGACGGATAGCCCCCCGACTTAGAGCCGGTGGTACAACACCCACAACCAGGCAGCCCGAAGGTCCAGCCCAATCTAAAATCCATCTGTGGCTGTTCCAAAGTCGATCATTGGGAATGCGTGCCGAATTTCCTGGCTCTGTGTACAAGGCTTCTGGTGTCTTATAAACTCAATTGGCGCCGATGTGATTGTCGGAGATGCCCCGGCACTTAATATATCTATCATGTGGCAGCAGTTGGCGCACATTCCTCTGCTGAGTGGTCAATCAATGTAATAGGGGGGATAATTAGGGATAATGCTAGCCGGCAATATAGTACCCCAACGAGAAGCCATAGAGACGATCAACTTAAGCATTGATCAACAGGCTTGGCACACCAGTGCCGAAAGATCTGTATAGTATATACCCACCTTTCTGCTGGTAGCCAATCTTATGATGATTGAAGCATCTGGCAATGTTCGTATAGCGGATAACACTGCCGATTATACATCGTATATCTTTGATTCGCTTCCTCTCCTGCGATTTTGTGCTCGAGTCGCTCTTCATGGCATTCAAGAGGTATCCTGGCCGTAGATTTTCTGACCCATTCTTGATAGTGAATAAAAAGCATTACTTGTGCACCTGACAGTCCAAGGTGTCTGGCAAAGGACGATTAATCTGCCAATAAGGAAACCCCGAGCTAGACTTCAACACTTAGTACAAATTAGCATGCCATCGTCCAATGTCGTCCAAATAACGAATACATCCAGCATAATCAAAAGACACAATATCTCTCACCGACAACCCCTAAACCCCAGAACAAATACAGCCACCCCGGTCACCCTTGGAAGCAAGGAAGTAACTCACTAAGCAGATAACTCTACCTGATTACGTTAATGGCTCTCAAGCAGATGTATCCATACATCTTGGGAAACGACCAATCCTCACTTGAGGAAGTATCATCACCATCCCCGAGGGGAATGGATGATCAACACTTTAGACACAACAGATGCAGAAGGAACAACAGGATCCCCACTCACCCTTCGTCTTCCCCATTCAGGAATTACCAAGCATCACACGTGAGCGTTCTTCAGACGCATTATTAGATTACTATCTAGTAGGGTAGTACAATATCTACATATGCAACACATACCACTACATGACCCCTATGCACTTACCTAGAGTAATGTACCATCCATTCCTGAACAATTGCGTCTAAAGACCAACCACAGTCACATATCCATTAATCTACCGAACGCCATATATAACACGATGTATGTTCCGCAACGCAACTACCAGTATACAACTCCTGCACACGTACCGAAAGAGCCGGCAGCAGCACTCAAACTACCTAGGCTCTACTCAACCCATTCAATGAGCCTAGGCTCACAACGCCCGAAAGTTAAGCTTTCAATTGCCGAATCATCTATCCCGCCTTGACTACTACTACTCGATTCGCCACTGTCATAAGACGACCGTCGTCCTAGTAGTAGTAATCCAGGTGGATCCATACTTCACCAAAGCATGGAAATCCACTCAAGCAGCTTGGAATGAATGGGTAGAGTCAAACGGTAAACCCGGCAAGGGAATACAGGATACAACCACCCCCACCAAAGAAAATAAAAAAAAGAAAAAAAATATAGCAAAGGGGAGGAGGGAGGGGGGGGATTTCCGTCCCACTTGGGTCGTGATGTCATCGCTGTCGATTCGGGAGAGATCCCCGGCAAAGCAAGCAAGCAAGCAATGAAACAAAAATAGTGAATTGAAGGTACCGGGAAGGTGGATGGCAGTTACTACTGGATTAATCTTATAGGGTAGGGATATACGAGGAAGAACTATATATATAAAGGTAGTGGTGGTGGGAGTGATCAATATCTGCATACTTCGTGATTGAGATTCAAGTTGAAAACTAAACAAAATTCCATATCACGGTGATTGTCTCATTTACAGAACATAACTATCACCATCTCACCTCTCATTCCATCCCACATCCACATCCAAAAGTATCCAAATCCAAATCCAAATCCATCATGCCAGTCGTTCCATCGCTGAAAGACACCCCGTTCGACACCGACATTCGCGACCGTCATTTGATATACGATTACGCCGCGCAGGACGCGCAAGGCAACCCCGAGAAATGGCGCTACGAAATGTGGTTTTATAACGAGGACCGCATCGTCTATGCCATCCATGGCGGTCCCATGGCCGGCCGCAAGAACTTTCAAACGGCCACGTACCAGTGCATTCGACCGGGCGAGCTCTGGCAGTGCAATTGGCTTGAGGAAACCGGTACCATATGTTCGCTGGTGTACGACATTCCGCGGAAGCGCATCACCACGTTGCTGGGCTTCTCCAAGGGACATTGGGAGGAAGCGGAGGCGGCTCACGGCGACAAGCGGAATGCGAAGGATCTGGAAAGATGGAGGGGGTTGGCCACGATTGGCAAGCAAACAGATCGGAAGCTCCTGAGCGA